GGAGACCAGATCACTAAAACCGCCTTTTCTTCCTTCCAGCAAATTCCTTGCTGCCCACCCCTCAGAGGAATACCGGAGGAAACCCGGGCTCCGGGGACTGGGGCTTTTCTGAAAGGATGGCTTCCTCCGCTCCCTCGTCCTCCAACGACGCTCCGGACCCCACCCCAACTAATTTACGACCCACAAGTAGGTTTCGATATTTTCCTCGTTTAAGGTATTTTGGAGGCTTTCCCCACCTAGGCTTGGAAAGACCCATTTCGAAACGAAACGATAAATCCGTGAAGCCCCGTTCCGCGCCGTTAAGCAAGGTGCGGAAAGTGCTCTACACAAAGAAACCATCTTCTTGTTGGGAGCGGGAGAGGTTGGTCCGTGGCGAATAAAACGGTGGGAGAAAAAGCCCACTTCAGCGACCAGCGCTGCCTTTATCTTACAGCCACATTTGAGGGATTTAGACAATAAACTGAACCCCCAGATGGCCAAAAAATCGGGATGTTTTAAGGGGTGTGGAGAAAATGAATCAGTTGAAGGGCGAAGTTACACCAGTGGCTTATAGCGGGTGTGTCCTCCCGCTACATTTTATAAATGCTAATGCTGCAGCTTCCTTTCAGCCTACGCTGAAGCCTGTAATCAAGCGAAATTTGGATGCTAATTGTAGCTTTTCAAAGCCTTGTATTCCTAATTGCTCTGAATTCGCCTTGAGTTATTGAGGTGTGAGAGGGAAGCAGAGGCTGCTGCAGGTGGATAGAGAATCAGTTTATAGCCCTGCCAGGCAATTCAGACCGTCGCCTACCGAAAACAAATAAAAAAGAGGCTCGATGCTATAAAGCATCAGAGACAAAGAGCGGGCAACAGCAAGAAACGAAAGGTTGTCAGGCACAGCAAAGCGAGGAATAGCTTTTACCCTGAAAGGGCTACGAGGCACGAGCATCGGAGTCATTATTGTCATTATTCTGCAACTGGAAGGAACGGGGGAGGGGGCGAACGGCAGCACCGGGCCTTGTTCCAGGCGGGGGTGACAGGCTCTGCTGCCTTCGGCTGAGGTATCGCACGCAGAAATCGAATTAACTGGCAACGCGGCTGAAAATGAGATAACCTCTGACAGCAGCACCCCGCCCTGCCCGCCCGGACGCCGAGCGGCTCCTCGGCCCGCCCGGCACCGCTGAGGCGCTTCCCCCGCTTCTCCCTCCCCGAGGGCCCGGCCGCTGCCCTCCCCGCCGGGGTG